CTTGGTGTATTCACTTACCAAACGAAAACCTGACGGTGACTTGTGAAATTGCCATTTCTTCAAAACCTCATTAGTACTTGTCATATTTTTTATTTCTGACAATCGGTAGGCACTGCAGCTGGCCTTCCAGCAATTATCAAATTGTTCCGGAGTCAAATCGTCATATTTCAATGCTTCCAAACAGCGTTTGATAGTTTATTGATATGCAACATTTTTGAATTGAAAACAAATTTACCTATTTTTTTTTCTTGACGCAACAGCCTTTGTGATACCTGTGGGTTTGATGAAGCCACCATAATTATGTTTGGAAACTGCTGCCTCTCCAAAACCCACAAAAAAGGAAAATATGCTGAGATCGTCCTCATCAAATCATCATGTTCAGTAGGCAGTTTTTGGCTGTCTATCTTTCTCACTTTACAATGTCTACAGTAAAAATTGCTAGTGAATGATTTACTGAAATCTAAAAAAATAATTCAAACCGAGGTTGTTTCGTGTACTAAACCCAAAATAAATAAATAAATGCGAGTGGGAAAATGTCTTTCGATTTCAATTTCAATTCCAATCTCTTCTAATTCTTTGAGTTCGTTAATGAGAGATTGGAAGCATTTTTGATTACCGTAAGTTTTAAAATCACAAGGCTTCATAACGGTAGCATACCAAATATTTTCTAGTTTGGATTTTTGTATTGAAAGACATGGAAAAAAGTTATACACATTACAGATTGAATGGATACACGAATGTGAACCAAGAGGGTTATTAAATTCCAGCGGCATTAGAATACCTTTGATTTCTTTTTCATCGTAAATTTATCTACGTTTGCGAAATACTGGCATAATTTCATTATTAATTGTGAACTCTTTAATGTAGTTAATATAGTCAGAATTCTGTAGCCATTCGTGTAACGAATGATCTCTGTTGAAAAGTTCAATGGACTCCTACAATTCGACACTGGACTACAAAACTCATTGTAAGCTATACCTACTGTTTTCTTGAATTATACAGTTCGCGAACTCTTTGAATATGTCCAATAACGGATCTATCAACAAGTTTCGGCATATTTTGAATTTCAAAAACTATTTTTCTTGAAAAATTATTCTTATTGTGAAGGCTAAGTACAAACTTTATCACAGAATTACTAAATTTTTTTACGACTCCACAAAATCAAACTCCTGTTTCTTGGTATCATTAGTAAGCAACGTGTCTATTTTCAAATTGAAATTATCATCACTCTGTGGTAAACGAGGAGACAAATGTACTATAATGTTGACTAATGATTATAGAATAATTCTTCATTTTGAATATCACCGATTGAGTTACAATCATGACTTTCAACCTCGTTTTCAACAGATTCAATTTACTATTGAGTATTCAAATCTGCGAAAGATATTATGATCCTAGAATAATTTCCGACAATTTCACATATCCCAAATCCCAATAATGTTCAATACCTACAAATGGATTTCGAACGAAGCACACATTCATTGATTCACCTCACATAATCCTCTTCATGCACAATATTCATAAAATAGCTAAATACTTATGTAACGCACTATCCTTTTTCACCTGTCGCTGACTACTGGAAACTGGAAGAAAATCGCGCCAACCCAACCCCACTCCCACGGTTACTTCCGATTCCCAGAATATTTTAATGTCCGCATTCATTGATGCAAAGGATGATGGTGGTTGAATAATAAAACTCTACATTAGTGTACGAATTGATGCTCTGATTCGATGTATTCGATTGTGAAACTATGAATGGTTCAATGAATAGTTTGATTAAGAGGAGGAAACACCATGCATCAGTGCAATGAAAACATGATTTCTGCGCCTCCACTTTTCGTTGTTCAATATTGATTTTTTCGGAAAACAAAAAATATAGTGAGATGCAGAATTGAAGTACCTAGGTTTCTCTGGAAGTAGAATTTTGAAAAAAATCACCGATATTCTGTAAAAAAACATGAACATGGCATTTTTCGAGTATATTCAGATTTTTTTTTTGAAAAAAGTAAGACAAAAACTCAAGATCTGCTTCCAGAGAAAAATCCTTTCATCCTCTGTCAAGAGCCTAGTATTTTTTGTTCCAGGAAAAAAAATTTTTTAGAGGTGAAAAAGTGGGGGTGCGCGATCCCATGTTTTCCAACAATACGACACTGATTCCTAGCGTCCTCACCGGAGAATGCTGAAAACTGGATTTCAATATTGAAATACAGGCTTATTTTGCGTTTTTGAGATTTTACCAGTGTGATTCAAAAAGTAGGACACATTTAGGTTTGTTCCTCACTTACCTATTTCATTTTTCATCGTTTCTGTTTCTTCATCTCATTCCTTGGAAACTTATATTGTCCACAATACGCAGACATTATTTTATATTATCATAGATCTAAGCATATCTAAGTATACGAATGGGAATTATAAGATGATTTTATCGTTTCAGTAAGGAAGTACAGCACGATGTTCGTGAATCCTCCTGGCCGAAATCATAAATAAAAACATCAGATGATGTCATAGGTGCGAGGTGGCATGTTTGTCGGCAAAAGGACGAACCGGGGAAAAGCCGCCCTTCGGTCACCGAACATAAACGTTTATGTTCGGTGCTTCGGTCGACGATTTATAGATATTTTTTGAGGCGGCGAATTCCACATAATAAGTAGAGAAGATAAATATTTTGTATTGTCTTTGAGTATCCATAGAAAATATCGCCTATAATGGGATTCGTGAAATAAACTTTTTGACCAATTGCGGTAGCGTGGCGGTAGGCTTCGCAAGTGTTTCGAGTGTTTACTTCGAAGATAGCCAAAAGAGGAACAGCAGATCAGGGTAAAGACGAATTTGTGTATGTATATAATAATTATTATATACAGCATAATGTCTCACTTCAACCGCCGCCCCTCCTCTATATCTCAGCTATTATTGCTATCAATCATGCGATTCTTACCAGATTTGGACTAGATGAATTACCATTGATATGATCAGTTTTTCAGAAAGAAACATCATTATGGACAGTGCCGTGCGTTTTCATTGAAATTAAAATGGGTCGATTTTTCATGAATCAGGATTTTTTGTAGGAAAACTAACGTCACAGAATTGTTTCTCTGATGGTTTACAAACCGCCATGTGCAAAAATTCATTAATTTTGTATTACTAATATAGTAGGCCGAATTTCTCTCTTCATTATTTGCCCCGAATAAATACTCAATTCTAAGTAGCCGCAAATTCCGGAAAATTCAATAGCTCCAGTAGGTAGAAAATTATGGTTCACATAAAAAAAAGACATATTATGCAAGCGAATCAATTATCTTGCTACCGATTTCTCAAAAGTGTTCATTTTAACACGGATTTCTATTATGGTACAGATTTCAACCAATGAAGACACGTTCTTTTCATTATGATACCAATTCTTGGCCCATAGAAACACGTACAGTCGTCTTCAGAGAACATGTCGCACATAAGAGGAGGATATACACCCTGAATCACTGCGAAGAAAACATGATTTCTCCGCCCCCACTTCTCATTGTTCAATATTGATTTTTTCGAAAAACAAAAAATATGGTGAGATTCAGAATTGAAGTATCTAGGTTTCTCTGGAAGTAGAATTCTGAAAAAATTCACAGACAAAATCATTAACATTGCATTCTTCGAGTATATTCCGATTTCACTGGAGAAAGTAAGGAAGATTATCAAAATCTGCTTCCAGAGAATATGCTTTTATCCTTTCAGAAGGGCTCAGTATTTGTTGATTCACGAAAAAAAAAATTTTTAGACTAGGAAAAGTGGGGGCGTTCGATCCCATGTTTTCTAACATTTCGAACTATTTATCAAAATCAGAATACGGACATATTCTGTATCCATTAGATTTCACCAGGGTGATTCATAAATGAAAATACATAGTACACATTCAGGATGTACCTTACCCATATGGAGGAGGTTCATAATAACAATTGCATCATTTATGTTTCCTTGATCTCCAGAATATTATACAATATTATCGAACGAAAATTATACATTATACGATGATTTCATAGTTCCTCTTAGTTCAGAGAATGTCCGTGAATCTATCTACTATTCCGAGAAAAATTATCTTGAGTGAAAACCACAGAGCGATGATGTCAAAGGTGAAGCGACACGTTTGTCGGCAAATAGACGAACAACACTTTCAGATAAATCCCAATATCTCAATCTAAAACCTCATCGTATTTTTAGTTTTTCGTATATATCTATTTTGTACCGTTTTAAGTGAAGGCGGAGATATTGGAAAAATGCATAATGGTGTATATTTCGAAAAACAAAAAAATCACTGGGAGTTAGTTTAAAAAAACTCACTGATTTTTGCGACTTCAATAATTACGTGTGAAGAATTGCGGGTGCCTAAAAAATGTTTCATCTGTTGACCGCTTGATGTGGACCACTAAGGACTGACATTTCTATTTCAATTCATATAGGAAACTCTCTATCAACTACTAGAAGAGGATAGATAATTCTCGAATGAAATGGATTACGATGTTCAAGAAATTACTATCCGCGACAACAATTTGGGAATAGAAATGCCTACCCGCGACTCCAGCGAGAACAATTTGGCAATAGACAATCATAGGGAATAAGATTTCGTGAATGTATTTGTTACTGGAGTTATGCGTCTCAATTCGGTGGATAGTGATACTAGTTCAATCCAGAGTTTGGGTGCTTCCGCTAGTGAAAAAACTTATCAAACTCTCGTTTCAATAAATGATATTTTGGATAGTTCTTATTATAATATCAACATTCCATGCTACATGCATTCATTAGAAAAGTCGGAAAAATCATCTACCAGCATGAATATTTCCACAGACTTACCCTGTTTTCCTGGAAGTGATTGAATAAACAATGTTCCATATTCGTCATGTGATATTTTTGAAAATGCTGCTGATGTGAATAGTAATATTTCTCACATAATTGAATCTGACACTGTCGAGGCTTATAGTGGGAACCTAGAGACTGGTGATTCTTGTATGAATGTTCCATATATGGAATCATCCGAGATTACTTCAGAGAATGTATGTGGAGATATTTCGAGAAATTCAAACAATTCTCAACATGATAATTCACGAATTGTTCATGAAGAAAGACTTGAGAAAGTAGTACGAAAAAGAAATCAGAAGTTCGAAGAAATTGATTTGGAGGGTCGTAGAATAGTGGACATTCAGTATTTCATCGATTCGCTGAAATTAATTGCAGATCATGCACCACACATGGGATGTACATTGAATAATATGAAAGTTGTTGGGGAATACATGAATGGTTTCTCTTCTGAAATCAAATTCAAGTGTAATATGTGCTCAGAAACAAGAACCGTAACTACAGTGTATGATCATGCAGATATTAACAGCAGTGCAATAATGGGAGTTACTACCATGGGGTCAGGTTTTACCCATCTCAATCATTTGATTTCGTCCATAGATATACCTATGTTCTCTCCATCAACATACAACCGTATCCAGGATGAATTATCAGATATTTGGGGAGAAATTGCTCTTGAGGAAATGGCACGTGCTGCTGAGGAAGAAAAAAGAATTGCGATGGAATGTGGTGACGTTACAACTGACGAAATTCCTCTTATAACAGTAGTTTGCGATGGGGTTTGGGCAAAGAGGTCCTACAGATCCAATTATAGCTCGTTGAGTGGTGCAGCAGCCATAGTTGGTTACAAAACAAGAAAAATATTATATCTTGCAGTCAGCAATAAGTTTGGCATAACATGTAAAAAGCTTCCTGATGACGCTTTATACCACAAATGTTATAGAAACTGGAGTGGCTCGTCATCTGCCATGGAATCTGACATTATTGCTGAAGGATTCATGAAAAGCTTAGGCATGCATGGTTTGATATATAGTCAGATGGTGGCCGACGGAGATAGCAGTTGCTATAAAAAATTTTTGATTGCAATCCTTACAGGGAAATAACAAGGTAGAAAAATTAGAGTGCCGCAACCACGTTTTGAGAAATTACATGAATAAAATCAGAGATCTTTCTAAAGATACCTCTGCTCGACCGTTAATACTCAGGAAAGCAATAAAGGTGAGAGAGGTGATTTTTCAGAGTTTATTAATCCATTATTACTTGGTCACAATATATACTCATCAATTCTTATTAACATACTTACGTTTCAGTTTAGTTAAATGAAGATGCACGATATTGTCATCAGATATATCCTCAATGAAATTTTGAGTTGGGCCTCTTTTTCTTTTTCAGAAAAATGAAATGAGATTCCGGTATGGTGTGACAAAGGCTATTAAATATATAGGAAGTCACAGGATATTTCATTCCAGACAAGAACAGATGATCTTAGAAAATATATTTTGAATAGCCCTAGTCATATCCTAGGAGAACACAAAGGTTGCCCATCATACTTATGTGATAAGTAAGGAGAAAACAATTACTTAGTTGATATAAAGTTAACTCGTGGGTCTGCCTTATACCTACGACCTAAATACTTCAACGACTGACACCTTTATTAGGCACGATGATCACACTACACTGTTTTACCACTAAGCAAACCGATTTTTTTATGGCCTTGACACCTTTTTTGCTGACTATGTTAGCATCTACGGGGAAAGATTTAAACAGTTTCAATCTCTCTTCGAAATTATTAACATAGTTAGCGAAACACGTTTTACTGTTTTACTCTTCTCCTGAAGATGCTGACATAGTTGACGAAACACGTGTCAAGTCGATAAAAAATGTGTTCGGTTAGTGGTAAAACAGTGTAGTTTGACCTAAATACTGATTATCAACTGAACAGCTCACTTCATTTGGAAAATTCAATGATATTTTAATGCATACTAGGTGAAATATCAGTTTTTTCCAAGAAAGGTAACCCCTTATCAAAAAGTTCATATTTTTCAGCTCTCTATGATAAACTGATGACAGCTGTGAGATACCTCGCCAATCACGCATCAAGTTTGATTCATAATGTCGACAATAATTCGGTAGAACAATTCAACAATGTCATTGCTAAACATTCTGGAGGAAAACGAATCAACCCATTAAGGACGGATTTAATTTTTTTAGAATTCGACAATAGTATATCTTCGAACTGTATTTTCAGAACATAACTAACAGATTTGCTCGAAAAAATATAGTGAAATTCGTCTTACTTTCTTCAAAAATTAGTGTTGCCATATGGCAACGCGAGTAACTTACACTGCTATGTTTCATCAAAAAAATATATCTACATTTATTGAAAAAAAAAACTATATTCGTGTATGATATTTGACATTGCAAGACAAACAAACTCCTGCATTACATTTGATGCATTTTGTGCGCATAATTGATTTGCAATTGTCGCCATTGCATCTTATTTTTTTCTCTACTGGAGTGAGAAGGTGCCCTATATTATCCTATCGCACATCATCACCAACGCGACTGAACGATCTGCTCGATTTACTTGCAGATGGTCTACCTTTCCCTTTTGGTGGATTCTTGTACTTGTTGAGGTAAGTTTTGACAATTTCTCGACGAAAGTGTAGTTGGGTCATTTTGTTGCCAGACTGTTTGTAAAGGACCCAGGCATTTTGTATTGCCGCATCAAGTTGCCATGTGAAAAGACACCACCACCATTTTTTTCCACGTAGACTAATCCTCCAGCGTGCAATATTTTCATCCATCAGATCCGTGCCACCCATGGATGCATTATATTTGGAAATCAAGTTTGGTCTTGTTACTTGAACAATTTTTTTCTCCTTTGCTGAATATCGTTTGACACTAGCAAGTGGGGCTACCCCATATTTGGTCGAAGCTGCTGAAACTACATTATTGTCAGTCCAACGCGTTAGTAAAATTCCGTTGGTTCTATCCAAACAAGAATCGAAGTCACCACGTTGTTTCTTACTCATATCCTTTTTAGATACTAACGGGCAATTTTTAGGAATTCGGTTGTCGCGAATGGTTCCTGTGGATAAGTAACCTCTTGATTTCAGATGACTAAGAAGGTGAAGGCTTGTAAATAAGTTGTCTGTGAAAAGGTTGTTTCGCTGTTTTTTTTTTGTCTTCTGGTAACTCATCCAAAAGCATCAGCAATGGAGCAGTAGGTTTTCCAAACACAGTTTGGTATTCTTCGCTCACGCGCCTATCTTTGCCTTGATATAAGGAAAAATTCACAAGATATCCGTATTTACTGTTCAGCGACCATATCTTGTATCCAAACCTGATTGGTTTGCCTCGGATAAATTGCTTGCATGAGTGTTTTCCAAAGTATTTGACCATACACTCGTCGTAATTCAAATCTGCTTCTGGAACAAAAAACTTCAAGAATTTTTGTCGTAGAAGATCACTCAGAGGTCGCAGCTTATAAAATTTGTCATTAGGATCTAGTGCATTATTATCTGCGCAGTGTAGATACCGCCAAATTGTTAAAAATCGGTCTCTCCTCATTGCATCCATTACTAGTTGATTACCAAGATCTCCATCAGTGTTCCAGTAACTTTTCTTTCCTGGTAATTGACAATATCGCGATAAAATCAGGATAGCAATAAAACATTTCATCTCATCCAAAGTAATTTGAGGACATGGCAAGTTTTTAAATTGCGCGTACTTGTTTGATTCTTCTACCAGTAAAGAGAGAACGTCATGATCTATGAATAACTCGAACATTTCTGTTGGAGTCAAAGTTTCGAAACATTCATAATCTGAACGACCATAATTTCCTGAACTTTCTTCCAGATCACCTTTGATCCATTCGATGTCCTCATAAGCAACTTTTTCTAGATGTTTCGTTTCTGGTTCAACTAATTCTTTATCTTCACCATGTAAAACAAGTTGAACTGGAGCATTCAATTGATTCCGAGATAAATTTTCAATGAGTCCACCTTCATCTTCCTCACCTAAGTCATCTGTCAAAAACCTGGTGAAATCTATTATACAGGGTGGGTCACGGTCGATGGCACCTTAGACGTTTACGGAGAACGGGACATAAGATCATTCTGATAATTTGGCAACTCAAGTAATCGCTTTTGATCTATCGATCTAAAATATTTTCAGCAATGCAGCGTTGCCGCTTATACCAGAAAGTAGCAGCATCTTTGTTATTTCAAATGGTACACCCTGTATATTATTGCATTTTTGAACTTATCATCACTTTATGATTATTTCTGCCTTATTTTCTCCTATACCTATCTCTGACGGTTTTTGAGATATTGATTATTTTGCATATTTTTTATCCAAAACATAGCTCGAATTGAATGTTTATTTCTGCGGTATTTGGATTCTCAGGAAGTTGCAATTTTGTGTTTAGTTCATCAAGATCATGTATATCGATTCTGTAGAGAGAAGTTTGTTCTGCGTTATACAGGGTCGTTCAAAATTCATGATTTTACTGCTAGATACAAAAAAGGTTGAATGTGCGTTTTTTCAAATAGAACACCCTGTATATTATGAAATATTCTGAAAGATGACTAAATTCCCTTCGAATTGATATTGTGGCGGTAGCTGATCGGCAGTAGCTGACCCCCAGTATGTGCAAGTTGGATGTCAGATAGAATGAATGAAATTATGTCAATTGATTTTTAATAAAGTCAAAGTTGCAGCTATCATTTAGTTGGAATAAATAAATTTTTATAAGAGAACACGCTTATAACTGCTACATTGATGACCCCGAACGCTTGTACCAGACATTTACAGAAGATACAGCTTCGAAATCTTGTACACCAAGTTCCCAAGCGATTCATCAAAAGACGGAGGTACGTTCTTGAATTTCATCTCTGTAAATACTCATTCAGTATGCCAGATCCTCCAGAACATAGGAAACCTAATGAGATCGCTCGAGTTTCGATCAAGATTCCAGTATGTTGGCGGAAAAATGTCAAAATATGGTTTCTTCAGGTAGAATCGCAGTTCATTACAGCTACTATATCAAATGAGACAATCAGATACCATCATATTCTTGGTACATCAGATACTGAGGTTGCGGAAATGATATCGGATCTAATTTCGAGACCACTTTCTGGAAAACCCTATACCGATCTGAAGGAACGTTTAATATTGCAATTTGAAGAGTTGGAGGAACGTAAAGCAAAGAAGTTATTGACCGAAATTGAGTTAGGTGATAAAAAACCATCAACATCGCTCAGAGAGATGCGAGCTCTAGCAGGAGATAGAGTTACTGATGATTTTCTCCGAACTATGTTCATACAAGGGCTGCCCTCAAGTGCTTGTGCAATTCTTGTGACTAGCCGTGATGATTTAGATACAGTTGCTAAAATGGCAGATAAAATCATCGAGATGACCTCACCTTCTAGTTATTTTTTTGCGAGACTATAAAAAAGTCATCAACACCTGCAGAAATGTCAATCAATGACAGATTTTCTCGCTTAAAAGATCACATTTCTTCTTTGGTCAGCTCGATACAGAATCTTCATTTAACAAGTAGATCCAAGACAAGAAGTCGATCCAAAACTCCTCTCAGAAGAGATTTAAACCCAAAAGTCTGTTGGTATCACAGAAAATTCAAAGACAGGGCAAGTAAGTGTATCGACCCATGCAACTATAGTTCTGAAACTTCAACGGAAAACTCACAAATCCATCACTGAGCGCGGCAGGTGATGGAAGCCAAAAATCTTGCCGCCTTTTTATTATGGATCGTGCTTCTGGGATACGATTTAGTAGGGAGGGCCTTACTATGGCCTGGGAAAATTTCGAGGACCGTGGGAAAATCTCTACCCTTTGATGTTGCCGCCTAACCGCAAGGTGCTAATTCCACGCTGGCGCGAGCTTATCGAAACCGCAACAATAACACTTTGATGACAATAACAAGATTGAATTTTCATATACAGGGTGTTTGAGTTGGGTAATTGTTGAGAAAAAATATAGGATGAACCCAAAAGGCGTTATACCTCTCCGACCTACATATAAAGGCTACCCGCTATAACATGATATATACAGGGCGTTTGAGTTGGATAACAGTAAA